ATATATATATATACATTTCGGTGACTTTAAAAGTTAAAAAATGCACCAAAGCTGCTGGGTGGCTTTTGTAACCATTTGAAAAATAAATAAATAAAAAACTTTGTTGCCACAGAAAATCAGCCCCCATCTCGTCACAGCTGAGGGAAAACAGCCCGTCCTCGATTCTGTCACAACACGCTCCCCTTATTGTATCGCACGCGAAAGCTCCCCATGGAAATTTTGGAATCTTTCCCATTGTTCATAAAGGAAAAGGAGGCTTTCATATGGAAGTGGGCAACGCCAGGAAATGACAGGCATTCTTTGCGGACAATTTGAAAATAAACTTGTGGGTTTGCGCTGCTCTCGCTCCATGCAGACTACGAAGAATTAGCAGAGCGGATTGGGGGCCTTAACAACTCCTCAGTGGCATTTTCTCTCCCGTGTGTGCTTTATTTTTAAAGTTTAAAGGACTTTGTTTTTTGTTAGTTTGTGTTACTGAAAGACTCGCCATCAGAGTTGAAGCTATGAGGCCTTTAAGAGCTCTTTCACTTTCTTTATTTTCTTCCTTTTTTGTCCTTATTTTGCCTTATCTTCTGTCCTCCCCCCTCCACTTTAAAATCAACTCTGCAGCTTGAGTTTAGCTTTATGAGGTGTGACAGCGAGGCCTGGTTGCTGTGYGGACTGGAACGTACAGCTTTACATTCAGCCGGCTGTGGAACGGCTTTTGGGGAGGCCCTGGATTTATTCGGCCCCCATACGTTTTTATCGTATACAGAACTCCCTTTATTCTGCGGAGCTGGCATGAAAGAGCAGAACAGAAAGAAAGAGGAGGGAGGGGGAAAAAAGGCTGATGTCTTCAACCACAGCTGCACAAATGGAGTTACCTTCAGAAGGGAGGGGGAATTAAAAACAGGTGGGAGTTTGTTTCCTTTTCCCCCAACTTTTTTTTACACTTCTTTTCCTTTTCATTACCAGCTTTATTTAACATTTTGGCTTCATTAACCATCTGACGCTGCAGCCCTCTCTCTCTCTCGCTCTCTTTCTTTCTGTCGCTCATCCTCCTCTTCTCCTTGTTGTTTTGTTTCCCAGCAGGCCAGCGGTTGTTCCCGGGTATTTGACCAGTGTAGCGTAGCCGGCAGGTCGGTTGTTCAGTCCTGGGTGAGACAAAGGCAGCGCGCCTCGAGTTAAAGGGATGAAAGGAAACGGGGCCGTACAGACACTCCTGTTTACAATGGGAAACCTCCTCAGTGAGGTTGTAGAACAAATAACCACAATCGCTCTCTCTCTCTCTCTCTCTTCTTTTTTTTAAAACCAGTACCAAGATGTTGAGAGTGTGTCTCCTGCCATTTGTAGACGACTCTGTGGTGTGTGTGGACGTTAGATGTGAGTTTGTGTGTTCTTTGCATCTACAAAGCGGGAATATCAGCTTTCTCCTCCCTACACCTGTTTGGTCTGAGCGGACAGATGGCGCGTCACTTCTTAAAATTCATTTCCTATGTTGACATGTTTATGGTGTGGTTCGAGCAGCGAAACAGAGCGTTGGAAACGTAGGAGACGAGAATAGAGTTCWTAAGCTGTGATGCTGAAGTACACCTCTGTTTCTACCACTTTAGTGGTATGTTTTTTTCTTTTTTTAAGATTAATTAAAAGAACCTATGGTTTAGTGCGTTTAAACAGTGGAGTTGCAGCAAACTCAATGTTTTCAATAGAAGCGATGAATGAAATGCTTGAATTCATTAGACGTAAATATAAAAAATAACGTCTTCCAAACTTCATTTAAACATGGTGTTTGACCTAATTGTATTCGAGTCCTGAATGTTTGTTTTATGGCAAGATATGTTTTTATCTCAAGTAAAATCTGCCTGCAGTAAAGGCTCCTCACTGCGATTCTACAAAATATCATCTTCTAGAGCAAAGGTTCCCAAAGTTTTGGTCGGGACCCTTTAGGGTCCCAAAACATCAAGTGAGGCTCCCCAGCTGATTTCTAGACATCAGTTTAAA